TCTGCTTTTCTATAGCCAAGCTGGTTATGCTTCTCATATTTTTGTGTCTTGGAGATTAGCCTGCTGATCCTCTTGTGGCTGTTACCTCTTTGATGCCTTGTCAAGCAAAATCCCTGGTTCAGTGCCTCTTAATTCTCTCTGTTCTGGTGTCATAGAAGTTTTGTCTGTATGTCTAAAGCATGCTCTGGGGATGGTTAGGGACTGGACGAATCGCTGCTGTGCTCTCTGTCCTGTTTGCTGGTAGCTGTGCATTATGCCATCCTCATTATGATGTGCCAGTTTATAAGACAGCAGGTCTTACTGTCTCTGGGCACCTTCCAGTTCCCCATGGCTCTGACATTAGAAGAACAGCTTTTCAGCTGAGTGAATTGCTACCAAGTGTCTCATTTGCCATTCTGTCATTTTAGAGTGACAAATACAGATCAGGAACTGTATCTGCAGTCTTTTATGTATGTTTTCAGTTATTCTGACACTCTCTGTCTCTTCTAAATTGACAGTAATGGAAGCTTGTGGTGCCACATCTAAACACATCCTTCTTTGTAGCCTGTGTAAACGCCTGTGCTTTCAATTTTTTGCCAGTGTCAAAGCACTTCACTTTGTCAGATGCACCAAGGAAGATGAGTTCTATGTAGATAATCAGCTATTTAAGGGGAAGGCCAAATAATAAAACCACCCCAGAAAAGCGCATATCAGACAGCAGAACATGTATACACTTTTTGTGGCTCAACATAAAAGATATCTAGGCCTCCCCTCCTTTTTAAAGAGCATTAAGTTATCACTCTCTGTGGATGCAGCTCCTGTTGGCTCTGTACAGAACATGCGCTGTGTTCTGTGGGCCAACCCCAAGCCATCAGTACTCTAGAGTGTATAAAGAACCAGCTGAAGCTTAGTTAAGATGCATCAAGGTTGCTAAAATTGCTTTAAAAGGCAACTAAAACCTCCCCAAAGTGTCTATGCTCTCATTGCTGTCCCTGGACACCCAGGGTTCTGTTCAGGTGTGTCTGGGTTGTCAGTTGTGTCTCAGACCTCACAAGAGATACAGAGATCTTTGGATTAGCATCTGGAGATCAAGTTATGTCACTTCATGGGGAATCACTTAGTCACATAGGTTTAACAATGCCTTTTAATATGTTAACATGGGGTTTTTTTGACATCCTAGCCATCAAGAAGTAATATAAAGCAATTAATTCCTTGACCTAGTCTGACCAAGCTCCATAGAGAGTTTGACTTCCTGGTTTACCCTTACATTTAAGTGTCCCTATTCAAGCTAAAGCCCATTCTTAGATCCTGTGATGGCCAAGAAAACACCATCTCAGCACTGAGTCTCAGTCTTGACATTTTTTCAAGTGCTTGGAACAGTGTCAGTAGCACCACAGTGACTTGTGCATCTTGATCCAATGTAAAATTTAAAACCTTCTATTTGCTTTCAGACTTTGCAATTTTAGCAGTGTCATCCTTCTTTGAAAAAATGCTCTGATATCTTCCTTGGAACAAAATCTCCAGGCTAGTGTGGTTGTCTCCCTCTTTATCCCTTCTGTGTACGCTGCTGCTAACTCCAGGAACTGTTCAAATACCCTGGGCTCATATGTCTTTTTACTGACTCACTGACTCATGGTTATTAACATACCTTTTGCATCAATATGGATGTAGACAGTTACTTATGATTTTTAAATCTGTTTTAGAATCGTGTTTATCAAGTCTCCTTTTTCTTTTGATCCCTCTCTTTTGTCCTATTCTGTTAAAATGTTGCTCTACCTTCCTTAAACTTTGGCCTGCTAAGAGCAGTTTCCCTGGAGCTGCAGCTTCCAGTGTTACTGTGAAAGGCTCCCAAATCCCAGTCACAAATTTGTCCTTTATCTATAATATTCACAAGTATTGGCTCCTCAGACTTTAATTATTTACACTCCTCTTGTCTGTCTCAGAAGAGCTTTTTTACTCTGGGCTTTGACTGCGGTGTTTTTTCACTCAGTGTTTCCTTAGGTTGTGCTGCTCGTGCAATGTGCTGGTGCCTTGCTGCACAGTACACAGATGGTAAGAAGCTTTTTGACAACCTATGGAAAATCTGGGCTGGCCATGACAGTTAACTGGAACCCAGCAGATCTTAATCCTCCTGCAAGGTGCAGACATGGGTCCTAGCCAGGAAGAAGACTAAATAATTAAAGAAAACTACTCTAATCAGTAGCTTAATCTAGAAAAATGTAAAATGTGAGGATTTTCCACAACAGAATTAATTTTAATTTTGGTACTGTTATAATATGTATCCTGCTAGTATCATCAGGAAAGCATGTCTTTTTTGAAAATGTCAAGTGTTCTTATTCCTATTTAAACTAAAACCTAAAAATGAAAACTGGAAGGTTTTTTAGGTTCAAACCTAAAAAAATGTTTAAACCAAAACCATTTTTTTTTATTAATTTTTAGCAGCCCAAGATCTCTATTTTAAAATAGTCAATTTCTCTTTGTGTTTTGAAGGAAAAATAATACTGCAGAGAGCATAAAAGACAGAGGGTGCAATGCTAACAGTTAATGAAATAGTGATGTATTTCATTACTATTGCTAGTAAGATGACAATGCTAAAAATATTCTTCCTGTTCGTAAAAAGTTGTAGCTGTATATTAATCAGTAAATGCACTTAAAACATGTATAGTTTATATTCCTAACAGTTTCTTTATAATAATATGCTATTTTGACACTAACTGAAGGTTTGTCAATTTGTATATTTAATTCAGGCATTAATTACTTGTAGACTGGAATGCACAATTTATACTAGGCTTCTTTGATGTTTTCATGTTTCAAATGACAAGAAGAACTGTTGGGAAGATGTGATGATTTCAAGGCCCTTCTGTCTTTAGGTATTGTATCCAGTTCATTCAACCTTATTATAAGCCTTCTGATGCTTCTAGCATTCATAAAAACAAGTGATTACACTGAGAATTTCAATTTCCATTAAAAAGAATCACTTATGTCCGGGTTGATTTCTCTTCTGCTAGGTAATACCTGTATTCAGGGATCAGTGACCTCTCAGCCTTTTTGGTTAACCCTCCTTGTGCCCAGCAGCCTGCCAGGGTGGCAGTGGCAGGACTGCTGTGTGTGCCAGGGCTGCAGGAATGGCCCAAGTGGCCATTTTCTGGGGGTGTTGTGCAAGTGTTTGCTTATTGTACACCTGTAATCATGTATAATGCCTATGAGAATGTGTAGTGCACATAAGAAAAGGTGAGAACCCTGAGGTTTTGTTTGTGTCTGTCACTGATGGAGAAAACTAAGGTATGCTTTGAATTTGAGGGCCATTCCTCACAAGTGACACTTATTGCCATGCCTTCTTTGTGAACAAGACACCTTCTTAAGGAATGCAGACTTGATTATTTTTTGCCTTCACAGATGCTACAAGAATGGCATGCCCAAGCTACAGGAAAAAAATGAATTCCAAATATTTTCCAGTTCTAAAGCATCTAGGAGAATATATTTGGGAGGGCTGTGCTTGCTTGTTTTCAGTCTTTGCTTCTGCTGTTGCCCTCTCCTGGAGACAGAACATTGAAGCAGGGAGACTTTAGGCTGACCTGATGTTCCTGTTCTTGAGTTCTTACATCCTTATTTATAACATGGTGAATTTAGGATACTGATGATCTTTTAACTACATGGAATGCTGTTAACAATTTTTTTTTGAGCAGAAAATGAGAGCCAGCATTTATGTGCTATTCAACAACAACAACAAAAAAAAAATAGATGGCATTTTTGCTAGTGACATACCAGCTGAAAGGTCATAATATATATAATGAAAATGGCTGTTACATTAGGACATTTTTCATGCGTCATGAAACTGTTCACTGACAATAATATATCTGCTCTACAACATATTAAATTCTCTCCAAGAAATTATACCATGGTCTATGCAAGACCATGCTAGCAAGACATTCTGTCTTGATGAGATATTTAGATTTTAACAGAACTGGCCCAGAGAGTGGAATCAGTTTGCACTGCTCCAATTGCAGAGGTATGGTCTGTATAGCTCCTAGACATTGCAATATTTGGTATGTAACAATGGTAAGATTTGAATAATGGAGAGCACAGTGTTCAAGGACAATTTTACATGTAACTGTGTCACTTATGCACACTCCTAAATAGGCATAACAATGCATAAAAATATTTACAAGAGTCTTGAAAGCAAAGATATCGCTTGTAAAGTTAAATACAATTGCTATTCATATTCATTATCATCATTATTAGCTCTTGAGGAGAGTTGCCTCTTCTTGACCACTACAAAAGTCTTCTAGAAAAGGATATCAGTATATTAAAATGTATGGGTTTTTTTCAAAAAGGTTTTAATCCAGAACAAGTAACTTTACCTTCTTAATTGTTAAAGCCTCTTGGTAAACTTGAAGTCAAATTACCAAGTGAGGTAGTAAATTCTATCTGTTGCATTATTTAGGCAGAATGGAAATGCTTCTTTTGGATTGAAATAAAATATATCTGTGAAAATGAATTGTATAAATCTAGAAACAGTGACATCTCACTGAAATTTTGCAAAACTTGCTTACACCGATGTGTCAAAAAAGTGGTTGTATAACTGATAGAGTGAAAAGTCAAGCAGCTCAATTGTCTTTTTAAACATACCTTAAAGATTTTTACTTTTCTTCATTAAGATTTTGCAAAGTCATGGATTTGAAAAATGTTGTAATTCTATCTGTATAAACGAAAAAGATAAAAAAGCATAAAATATTTTCTACTTCCAGAAGCTTTACATAATCCTAAAGTCTTTGCCAACTGTTATTTTAGCACCTTCAAAAGAGACATGGACTTCAAAATCAGACTCACATTGCATTTCTAATTGAAATCGACCCATATGGGTTCAGTTCTATGTCAAGACTCAGATCAAGCAGAAAAGTTATTATGAAAGCAATGGGAAATCTCTCACAGATAATCATAAATTTTGTCACTAATGCAAGCTCTTTGCAACTACGTTGATCAAATGTGTGTATCTTATGTTTGTGTTCTTGTTTTCACAGTGCATACATTATAACAGACTTCATGGGCATCAGGAATGAAAATTTTATGAAGGTAGCTGCAGTTGGGACTTGGATGGGAGATTTTGTCACAGCGTGGATGGTAAGAAACATAATTACATTTTAAAAAGAGAAGAATATGTTTGTTGCTTTCAAGAGAAAGAGGAGAGAAAATTCAATTTCTCTGACTCAAGTGTTTCAACCCAGAAAAGTAAAAAGGTAACAAATGCATAATGGCAGGTATTCAATTGACAGTCCAGAGGAGTTTCAGTTAAAATGTATCAGGGAGATTTTTTATTTCTGTAAGTGGGAGTTTTGCCATTGGCTTCTGAATGGTGGCCATCCTTTGCTGTGAAGCAGCATCACAACGTGCTATCCCATGAAACAGTGAATAACAGCTAAAAATAAATAATTTTAATGAAAAGAAAGAGAGGAAAAATTAAACTGAAAGATGTAATAGAGAACAATGGAATGAGAGAAGGAAAGCAAGTCAGTTACAAGCCAGGATTTGAAGGTAGTCTGATGTGACTGATTTGTTTTGATCTAATATAGGACTCAGAAAAATAAAATTTTCACTTGGATTATACTTATTACAAAGGAATCTTCTATGTGCAAGCCAAAGATCAGCTTAGTGAAAGAGAACCAGAAAATGACAGCTAATTTTTGGGAACAAAATAAAGCATCTGCACATTTTAATTGTTCAGAAAAAGCATTTCTTAAACACAAAGTGATAAAAAGTGAGTTTAATAGTTTTTTAAGATTAGGTTTTTAAGATTTGTGTAGGTAAGCTTTTTAGCAATTGGATTTTAACAATGTCTTCTACCCACCATATTTGGAACCATACTGCACAACAGACAGAAGGGGGGAAAAAAACATCAAGGAATTTTTCAGGATGTTGTTCAGTGTCCGTGATTTGTCCAAAAAAAACCTGTACTCTGTGAAATGATGGCCATGAAAAGCAAGTGCAGAGAAAATAATTTGTATATGCTTTACGGTAAGGACATCACAGAATTGGTGCCTTGACTAATATTGACAATTAATGTGGATTCTTCTGAATTGGTAATAAAATTCACGGGTACTTCTGAATACCTTCAGTTTGCTTTTTTCTCATGGGCTTCCACACCTTTATTCCAGTGTCAAAGAAGAGATGATGCATAAACTAAACTGAACTTAGAGAGGTCATATACATCCTACATATGTGCCTTAGGGCTCCAGTGATAGATTAAAGACAAGTTGTTCTACATTAGGTAATGGGGGGTTTTTTCTGTCCCTCTTTTCTTGTTGCTATGAAAAAAACTCCCCTGTTTTGTGCAACACTGTATAAAGCATGGAAATGGTTGATTCAAAAAACATGATCCTGATAATTTTCTGGGTACTCAAAGCACTCTCAGGTCTCTTTGACAGTGGAGTCACAATTAGATTGTGCCACAGCAGATTCCTGTGGCAGATGGAGTTATCACTGAAGAATGGGAGAGAGACTAGGAGAAAATATAGAAGTGGTTTGATTAGAGAAGACTGTTCAAATTCATCTGGTTCTATTAGCTTTCAGGAAGAGTAGAGAACATGGGATTGGAGGGTCAATGTGTTTTAGGACATGCTTCGATTGCATGAGGAGAATTAAGAGGTGTAGTGATTGATGTTTAGGTCTTCAGGGTGAAAGAGAATAGTGATATTGCTTCTGCAATGCAAATCTCTAGGCAAAGTATATCAACCAGGCAATGGTAATGACAGTGTTCAAGGGCAGCTAAGCCTGGGAGCATCAAACAAAGCTACTACGATTTCAAGGTCTCTACCTCAATTAGTAAAAGATGAGATTGGACGTGCATGTTGGTGCATGGACATGTACATTGGCACAAATCATGTCCCACAGTGTCTAATTTAAGCAATCCATCTTTTTCTATATGAACAGAAATTGCTGTGTAATTTATATTTGAATTTACTTGACCTTTCTGCTTATAAAGCCCAGCATGGAATTGATGTCAAAGTAATATGAGTCTTTCTGTGGTATTATATTTTATGAAGTTTCCTCATCTTGTTTTGAAACAGAGAAGAAAAAACAAACCTGTAAAGGAACCTTTGCCACCCTCCCATTCACAGCAGTTTATATTTTCTAATGTTTAAGAAGTTTTTTTAAAGAAGTCATCCATCCATACACTCTAAGGCAGAAAATAAATACAGAGACGTAGCCTTCACTGTGTTTGAACCATACTGGAATTAGGATCTTATTCTTTATTTCATTGAAAACTTTGGGAATAAGCAGAAATAAAACAGATGGGATTCCATTTTAAAAATGAGTAATCAATACACAACACCATTACCCCAGGACATTGAGGAGTGGCTTATTAAATCAGGAAAGTGATTGAAATGGGAAAATATGTTTTGGATCACTGTTTGTTTTGGATTGAAAAGACAGAAGTAAGACTTTCTCCACAGCACTTCCTAGCTGACTGACTAGTTTGGTGACAGGATCTGACACAATTTCTAATAAAATTAGCAATATTATTTCTGTTGTGTGTAATGAGAATGGGGCCATGTTATGGGTGCCCAGAACCTTCTCCTTTTTACCTCTGGACAGGAGTGTCTGCTACTAATAAACATCTTTGCTGAAATCTGTAGTAAGTTAGATATTCTGAAGTCTGTGAAGAAGGGAATGGGTTCAGTACACTGACTGTCTCTCTGCACTTTTCGCTCTTTGAAGCCATGGAAGTATATCTTGCAATCTTGTACCTGCTTTGACATGCCCTCCTGCTCCCATAAAAAATGCATTGTCCTCATGGAGAATGCTTTTGAGGCAGACACCACAGATTTTTGCACAGTAGGACACCTTGGAAGAAAGGCTGGATTCCACCCAGACAAACCTATAAACTAGCAATTACAGCTGCCTTCTGGGAGAGTGCAAGCAGGCTGAGGAAGGAGCTGTTTGAGGGCACAATCTCTGATGATTAGAGTGGCCCCTCTGTGAAGATGAGCTACCTGCTGCAGCTGTGTTTTTGTGAGGGACACAGTCCTGAGCATGCGGGCTAAGGCATGCTCAGAGGATAGCTGCAGGAGTGAGTGGGTGGCACTGAAGTGACACAGAGAGCAGAGTAGTGTTGGCTTTCAGACCGTCAAAACTGTTGTTCCCTTTTGGCAATGGCTTTTTGGACTCTACAAAGATTGGCCCTGAGCTGTGAACTACACTCATACACATGGTGAGCTTTGCTTACCAGCTGCCATTACCATTTGCATTAATGACATGTTGCTGCCTACAAACTCTACATACGTGTGAAAGAGGCTAAACAGTAGAAGTTTGGAACTTTTTTGTATCTTTCTTAGACATTGCTTGCTAGGATTATCAGGAGCTGAAGCAGTTGTCTTCAGCCAGTGTCTGGTACTATCTCTATGAATATACCAGGCTGGTCCTCCTGACAAGGGATCCTATTCCTATTTATGTTCTTTCTGAATGGCAATTTAGTTGACATTCTCTTTTCCCATGTTAATTGCTAGAGAACTGGAAACATTTGAGAAATCATTCAGCAGCAGAGACTGTGCCTATTCCTGTTATCAGAAACAATGATAAACTCTAGGGATGGTTTAGTATCTTATTCATCAAACTAGTGTTTACCACAGATGTATCAGCATATTCTTTTCAAAAAGAGAAGCCAGGAATTTTCTCATCACTGTGCTTTAGCAGAGCACTTGACACAATGAATGTGAACTGAATCACTGTAGCAATTCCTGACTGTTCTTTTTGACACCTTTGCTTGATTTCAGTTTGACTTCTCCCTTGTGTGGGATGATGAATTCTTCTGGGACTGTTTCTCTTTCATCATTTTAGCAGATGAATTAGTAGGAAGTTAGGAAGTAGTACTTCCAGCATAGTCTGGATGACAGAGTGAGAGATCACTATTGTTCTGCTAATCCAGTGCTGACCAAGACACATTGTATCCACTTGGATGCATGGATGGATGGATGGATGGATGGGTGGATGGATGGATATAGAGGTAGAGACCTTCTGCCTAAGACTTCTTGTCAGGATACAGCATTGGGATTTCAAAAGTTTCACTGAGTAGTGAATCTACACCTCCCTTTCCTCATAAGTGGAACTGGATAATGACTTCCATACGCACAATTTGCCTGGGCTTCTGTGAAGTCTTTTATGGAAAAGAGTCACTTCATTGAGTGACATTCTGAAATATAACTTTTGGTGAACTGCTCCTCTCCTTGATAAAGATTATCTGATTTCAGGCAAGAAGGATTTTCTGTTTTCTGAGATTTTCAGCATTAGCTGTAAAAGCTCCAGTTTTTCAGCCTCATAATTCCAGGAGAAAACCTCACACTATTTTGTGTTCTGGCTTTGCTAGTTGTGAAAGAAATAGATTTTGTCCATGGGTTTTCTTTTTTCATTCACATTCCTCTGTTAAACATTTTTGTCTTCATCCTCTGGTGAAGAAACTTTCTGTATTTTTCCATTTTATGTGATTAACATGGGCAGTCTTACCTGGGCAGTCCCAGTGTAACCAGTAGAGGGGCCTGTGGCTGGTTTGTAAAGAATACTCTGAAAGGCTGAAGCCTTCCTTGGGATTCTTAATCCTCTGAACATCAGTATTTGACAGGTTTAAATTCATGGTTACTGCCATGCAAGGACACAGTAAATCTGTAAAGTCCTAAACCAGAATGTTTTTCTGTCACACGTACAATATTAAATCTCAGGCTACAACTGTAAAAAAGCTCAGTTCCTCCATCTGGTCAGACCAAAAATCCACCCAGACTACTATGTTACCTCAAACTGCTACTATAAGCAGAAGCCAACCAGGAGAGCAAGAAAAGCCAATAGTATGTGTCAGGGTCCTCTAATGCTCTACTGAAATGCTTGCAATTTTGTGTACATAATGACTCTTGATTTTAGAATTGTTTTGCTCTTTTTGCAACATTTTGCATTCAACTACAAAGAATTTCATCTGCCAGTTTATTGCCTAGGGACTTTCTTCCATAAGCACCTTTCCTAATTCTTCACATCCAGCAAGCCATCATCCTTTTCACTGTGCAAAATTTAATATAATTATAAAGCTTTCTCACCTCACTGCTCATCCATTTTTTGAGGTTGCTTAGGAATATGACAAA